ACAGCATGACAGCTGAGGGAAAAAAATGTGGTGAAATTCGTAATGTTTTTTTGGAATGCTAACTGATACAGCCAGGTAAAAACAGATCAGCTTTTCGACACCACACCTTTACAGGAATATTAATTTGATATTGGAGTTATAACTCTCCTCCTCCAATAGGATTATATAAAACTGTCTGTCGTACCAGAGGCTTAAAATGCTTTATCAGTGAGAATACTCATTTGTTGGTGGTTTTAACAGAGCTGTAGTGTAAATGCTGATAGAGAGAAAAATTAGGGGAGTCTGCTGACAGGTGTTTGCATGGACAGCTCTGTGTCCATTCATAAAGGCGTTCACACTGTGTTATTCTTGTGGAGTGAGATTCAGATGCCAGTTTTTCAAACTGTATCAATAGGAGGAATGCAGAGAAATCAGCCTGTTCAAAGGTGACTCCACACAAAAGCTGACCTACAATAGGATCTCAGGCAGGCAACGATTTCTAAACATTTTGCTGTTGTACATTTGGTCAAAACACATACCAGAGGAGCACTGAGTATTTATAGCAGTGGGGAATAAGGGCTGCCACTCAACACTAGATACCAATTTTTTTTTTTTGTTTCAGCTCCCTTAGAAAACAAATCCACCCGTCACATAGACTCTACTAATGGAGCGTGAAATGCATACACAACTGAGGGCACAGTGTAAAGCAAGGTATTTTAATCAGGTAGTAACTTGGAAGATAACAGATTTACTTTGCAGGTTTACAGCACGATAACATTTTCATCATCGGAAAGAATGCTGTAGCCTGAAAGCTGATTCCAATGGAACTCCTCTGCTAAATTCTGCAGAGTGGAGTGTGAGTGGGATGCTGCAGTGGAGGGGAAAGCCCTGTTATTTTGGAAGTGAGAGGGCTCGAAAGGGAGCGAAGACAGCGTGCCAAAGGATGCACGTAGGAGTACGGGGTTCTGTAAATGAAAGCAGGTAAAACCTGGATTTTTTGGGAAGGATGCAGCTCAAGTCTTCATGTGCGTTTTGGGTTAGGGGTAAGGGAAAGAGGGGGTGCTACTTTTTAATGCTTGGAAAAGGTCTTTGCCCGGCTCCCCCAATCAGGGCTGCGCAGTGGCAGTGCCGGGCAGCTGAAGGGGGTGGTGGGGAGGGGAAGGGACCTGGCCCCCCCGCCCCGGCGTGGCTGTGGCCAGTGAACAGGCAATGGAAAACGGGAGGAGAGCCCTGCCGAGGCACTTGAGAGTGAAGCCTGGAAAACCACAGCGCTGTTTTCTTTCCCATGGGCGGGCAGTCACGCTGTTTCTTCAGAGTGTTTGAAATGCGCGCTCTTCCCTGTTCTCACGCACCACTTTTCTCTGTGCTGCTTTTTAAAGACACCTCGCAATTACAGTGTTTGTTGTTGTTGCTGCTGTAGTAGGGCTGCTTATGAACCATGCCCAGAATAGCTGGCCTTTCTGGCTGGGGGTCTTACTTGGGACCAAAGTAATGGAGGTGAGGCTAAATCTCACCACTCAGTCCTCACTAAAATACAGTACAACAGAAAAGAGTCGTGCCTGAATTTCAATTTTCTGCTTCAATTTAAAGACATGGATTGTTGATCGCTACATCTTTACATCTTCTCGATGATTGCAAATTGTGGCTGAAGTACTTAAGACTGTTTGCTTGCAAGCATGATTCATGTGTGGCAGTTTATTCTTACCTTCCATTTATTCTCCACCTGAAACTGTTACCCTCAGCAGAAAGCATTGGTGCGCTTCTCTTCAGGGCTCACTGGCAGAGGGAAAGGACAGAGACTGATAATGCTGCCTGGAAACAGACTTGACTATAGAGTAAAAGACCTGGGTTTGAGCTTGTCCTGGTGTAATCTGTAATTTCCACCTGTATGAGAGCAGAACGAGGCCAAGCATTTTCAGTTCCCCGTGAGAAGTTAGTAGCAACATCCCAAGCTCTGCCTCATCCCTGTCTTGATTCACCTGGCTCCTTGCAGGCAGGACACTGTGCTGGAGTTGGCACCAGACTGACAAGCCTGGGGGCTTCATGCTGAAATATATTCAGAAAAAGAAGAGGAAAGGCCTAGGAATATCTCACAGGTTCACAAACAAAAGATATCCCAAAATCTTGTGTCTCATTGTACAAGAGTCAAAGCCTTTTATTAGAGAAATAAGCCCCCCTTCTGTTACTTTGTGAGGGATTATGTTACTGAAAAAAATAGCAAATAATTGTACCGGTTTTATTTTGACTTATTTCACTGCAAGCAGTTTGGACTGTGAAAGAGCATCAGTCATTCCTACTTTCTCTTATTCTTTACGACTTTCTTGTTTCCCAAGCAACACTGAGCCTTTGGTTTGTCTCTCTTCTCAGCTAAAGGTGAGCAAAGAGGCAGAATTTAATTTGGGATACAGTTTTGCTCTTGTCAATCTTCTTTTTTTTTTTTTTTTTTTTTTTTAAAATAAGTCTAGTTAACTATGTTTTGAATTAGTCTCCAGAGATTTAATGGTTCTGTTTGTTTTTAACAGAGGTGACTGAATAGGTTTTGGCTTATTTTACTGTTGGTAAACAGCTTCTTCACCAAAATGAAAATATTTATCCTGCTCAGAATATTAATTTTTTTTTTTTTTTTTTTGGTCAGAGGTTGGGCAAAATGCCCTGCTCAATTTCTTGTCCCATTTTGTCTAGAGAAAACAGCTCAAATGCTCTATACAGCTCAAGCACATCAGATATTAATGAAAACAATATTTCTTATGCAAGTTTCTGGCATTTTTGTGTTCATTAGACATCATCATGTCAATATTCTTTTTGTCGGTGTATATTTCTACACAGCAACACACTATGAGAGAGAATGTTTTTCCTCCTCTCAAGCACTGAAAGTGCATTAAGATTTCCAAGCTCCTTTTTTACTGAGAACTAAGTAGTACCTGTTTGGGAGCTCTAGCTGAAAACGCTGCATAAACAGCCAGCTAGTATTTATGATGATTTTATTGCTACCCTATGGTCAGGACATACTAAACTAACTGTGTCGAACTTTTCTTCTTGATTTCCTTCCGTCTCCCACAATGTTTTTAAAGCTCTCTTCAATCATTAGTCCAGGGGAAGTTCTGGACTTTTGCGGTTAGAGCTGTAGAATTTGGGGCTGTCTGTTTTCCAGCTCTGAAGCTGTTCATCTAAATCTCGAATTGCTGCTCTTTGCTAGGTGATTAACGGCGGCCTTTCGTCACTGTCCTTTGGACAATTTTGGCAGCTACGAGCTCGGTGGTACTTCCCTCCCCATCACCCACCATCCATGGCCGACACCTCTGTGCAAGATGTGCTGTGCTGACATGCCTTGAGTCAGGCAGAGGCTCATCCTTGTCCTGCAAGGCCGTCAGCCTCTCCCTGCGGCCTTGAGCCTCCCAAGCGTAAAGCGCTCGGGGCCTCAACCTGAAAGCGCCTGAGGTGGCCAAGTCTCTGGGTGCTCCTGAAAATCTGGAAAGCAGCTGGCTACTCACACAAAACTCTTCCTGGGGTTGTGCGGGGGTCCGCAGCATTCCTCGGTGGGTCTGATAGGTGTGCCTGGAAATGCTGGACGCAAACTGATGGCACCAGCCCAGGCTGAATTTGCATTTTATGCAATAGCCAGGGACTAGAGGCTGGGCTCTGAAACCGGGGACTGCCTCTGCGATGCTCGCTGAGAGAAATTGGACACGTCTGCTGTATTTCAGCCTACCCAATTACCCCAGAGGGGTGCTTTCTACTGCTGGAGTCACTCTGGGGGACATGAAATGATCACCCTCTCTCTGGTGGTTTGGGAGGCCCCCTCACCCTGCGGGGCAGGCCCTGGGCTGTGGCTGGGAAGCCCGAGCTGGGCATTGCCGTGAGCGTGCAGAGCTCACGCTGCCACTTCTGGGCTTGTGGGCGGCCTCTTGCGCACCGGGCACCTCAGCAACAACCCCAGCCGAGCTGGGATGCCCCGTCAACCGCCCACACCCCACGCCAGGATTTAATCCCCCGTGTGTTTTCTTCAAAGACTCAACCGCCCCGGCGGGTTCATGCTGACCTAGAGCTGCTGCTCAGGTAGGAGCAGGCTCTTCTTTTCGGCTTGTGGTACACACACACGCGGAGCCCCCTCCACACCCGGTTTGCTAAATTCTCCCCAAAAATATCTTTATAGCATGTACTTTGCCGGGGGGTGGGCACGGTGACCCCGGCCCCTGGCGTGAAGCCGGGGCTGAGCGTGGGGGACCCGTCAGGAGCGAAATGCTCCCACCCGGCCGGCCGGGACACGCGGAGTGGGGACGGTGCTGGGTGCGGGGTCGCCGCCACGGGGCGGGGGGGGGGGGGGGGGGGGGGCGGGAACGGCGCCCGCCAGGGCGCGCTGGAGAGCGGCGCGGCCGCCGGCGGGACTCGCGGCTGCCGGGGCAGAAAGCGGCGCGGGGGTGTGTGTGTGTCTGTCTGTCTGTCTGTCTGTCGGTCGGTGGGTGCCAGCGGCGCTGCCCGCAGCGGCCAGCCCCGAGCGGGACCGTCCTCCCTCCGCTCCGGGCTCGGCCGGCGCCCGCGGGTCAAGCGGGAGAAGGTCGGGGCGCGGGGCCGCCCCGGCGGAGCGGAGCCCCGCAGCAGTCGGGGCTCCGGTTGCCGTTCCCCTCCCTCCCCGCGGGGGTCGGGGCGGGGGCCGGGGCACCCCGCGGTGCGGGGCGGGGTGGAAATTTACCGGGGCCGTCCGCAGCGCGGCTGCGAGCGAGGGAGAGGCGAGCGAGTGGGCTCGGTGGGAGGCGGAGGGAGGGCGGGCGGGGGAGCGGCGGAGCATCGTCTGGCGGGGAAAGCGAGGGACCAAATGCCTGTGAGGAAGGGCGGCAGCCGCCACCGCCGAGAGAGGAGCCAGCGGCGGCGCAGCGGCAGCAGCCCCGGCAGGAGCCCCGACGCCGGCGGGGCCCGGCTCCCCCCCGGCCGGCGGGGCGGCGATGGCGGCGGGCGGCGGGCGGCGGGCGGGCCGCCGGGCTTAGGGCGCGGGCGGCGGCGGGGGGGCTGAGGCGGGCCCCCCACCCGCGGGCGCCGCATGGCGTGGGCCTGATGCCGGAGCGCGGCCCGGCGCCGCGGCGGCGCTGCGGGAGGAGGAGGAGGAGGAGGATGGCGGGGCTGGCGTGGAAGTGGCCGCGCACCCGCCTGCCCGTGGGTGCCAGCGCCCTGGGCGTCTTCGTCCTCTGCTGGCTTTACGTCTTCCCCGTCTACCGGCTGCCCGACGAGAAGGAGATCGTGCAGGGGGTGCTGCTGCAGCAGGGCAAGGCGTGGAGGAGGAACCAGACTGCGGTCGCCCTGTTCAGGTAGCGCCGAGCGCGGCCCAAGGGCAGCCGGGGACGGCCGGGGGGGGGGCGGGTGGCCGCTCCGGGGGAGCGACGGGCAGCCGGGCGCCCTCCCCACCCCGCCAAACCCCAAACTTTATTTTTCCCTACCCCAGCTTTTTTTTTTTTTTTTATTATTATTATTATTATTTATTTTTATTTATTTATTTTTTTTCCACAGCAGGCGGGGCCCCTCTCGCCCAGCAAAACTTTTTTGGGTGGCTCTGTTCCCTGTTTGCAGCGGGGAGGAGAGGGGGCTCGGCGCGGGGGATGGAGGCTTATCGCCCCTCGCAGGGAAACGAGCCCACCTCGGACGCCTTTCCGAGGAGGGCTGAGGTGTCTGAGGCTCTCCGTGTTGCCTGCACAATAGGATGCTGCTGGCTCCCCGGAGGAGGGCTGCGGACAAAGCGAGGGGCTCGCAGCCCCGCTCCGCTGCCCGAGAGAGCCGAGCTGGTGGCTCTCCCCGGGACGCGTCAGGGAAGGTTTGCGTGGACGTTCACGCGTGTGTGTCAGCATCCTCGCGCCGAGGAGCGCTTCGGAAGCTCCGCGCTGGTCCTTGACTCTCTGCAGTTTATTGTGGAGACCACGTGAAAAGGCACCTTTTTCTCTCCCCTTCTTTTGACGCGGCTGGGAAATGGCGATAATCCTCGGAGCCCTTTTCACCTTCCCCGGCCGCCCAGGAGAGGAGGAACATTGCAGTCAGGGGGCACATCTGATAGCGGCAGAGAACCAGGTCCCTGCAGCGGGGAGGATTTTTTGGAATGATCCTGGCTTAAAAAGCACGTGCAGTGGAGATTTGTGTCCCCCTCGAAGATTCCTCACAGGGCTGGGTGAAGGACAGACAATTGGAAGAGAGGCTGATTTCCCTCCCTTTCCTGGAGGGAAGCTGGGTTTTCTCCCTTTCCTCTAAGTAGCAAATGAAACATCAGAGTAAGTGGTAATCAGACTGCTTGCAGAAAGGCCCTCTTTCTGTAGTAAATGCTGGAATGAATCAGATCCAAAGTCCAAGGGACTTCTTTGATTATTTTATGGGTTTTTTTTTAAGTGGTGTATAGCTTTATTTGATATTCCTCACTAGTTTTTGAATGCAACTCAACTTGTGTTTGTCATGAACTGGAGCCGGCACGTGATTGCTTCATATCTTGTCTGCTGGGTTAACAGAAACTTTACAGTTCTTCAAAAGCACAGTCTTCCTTTAGCCCCTGAAGCTTGCAGGAGATAAAAGCAATGAGAGCTAATAAGCGGGCATGTGCTAATATCATCTCGTTGGGTAGGCCTGGAAGAAGTCCTCCCTTTAATACAGAGCTAGCAGTAAGGTACAGATGTAGGATCCTTTTCCTAAAACACCAACACTAGAAACTAGGTTGATCTTCTTGGATACAAATTCATCTTAATACTGTTGTGCCACATGCTCATTTTTGGGCATGGATGAATCCAGATTTATAAAATATTACCCTGATAGGTGATGTAGAAAGAGTTTGATGTATTATTTTTCATATTTGTAAACAAATAACTAATGTTATTTGAAGATTGATAACACTGCTGGAGCTGCAGTTTAAAAACCAGGTTTTAGATCACTTCCACCACATGGTTCAGAAACAAAAACACTGCGTGGCTCGTCAACTATTCCACTTGCCCATATGTCTTTCCACTCCCGAAGCACAGTGATTATCTCAGAGATGCTACTGAAGAGAGTCTCTTGCAATAAAAGGAGCTGTTGTTTCTTGTTTGTGATGAGTTGGTGCAGCACTGAGTACAATGAGCTTTAAATCAATCTGCTTCAAAAAATGAAGTTTTTAAGGAGAAATGTACACTGGAGATACATAGTGAGTATGCTGTAATATTCAAATTATGTCGTAAACCCCTATTTTTGCTGCATAAATTTACTTCTGTTAATACTGGTAGAAGGTTATGAAATTGAAGTCTGTGCCAGGTAAGCTGCTGTATATTGTGAGGTGATTAACAGAAACAATGTCCTGATCTTTGCTATGGTCCTTCTGTCTCTGTGCAAGAGCACTGTAAGAGCCCCAAGTTTCAGTTTCTACTGGGAACTGCCTATGAATGCGAGTCTCTATTTTACTTGGGAAGGAGGTATAGAGCTTCACAGAAATCATGCACGTGGATTTTGAAGTAATATGGCTTTCCATAATAGCCTAATACTAAGTAGGTTTTAGTATATTATTAATATATTATTGTATAAGAATGACATTAAATGCCATTCTCCCTGGCCCTCCTGCCATATTCTGGTTACCAAACTCAGTTTTGAAGAATAAATTTGAATATATCTGTGCTAAAGAACTATATAAGAAAGTGCATACTTTCACATTACTGCTTTGTATAGTACGGTGGCATTTGTGGTACTGTACAGCTGTTTGAATAGCTAGGTTCTTGCTGCACAGGGAAAACATCTGATGTTTTTGTATCCTCCTCCTGTAAACTCGCTGGACTCCTATTGTTGAAGCAAATTATTGTCCTCAAGTAATTAACTTGATGAAAACATACTTTTCAAACCTTAGAAGTGCTATTACCCCTTTGCCTTCTGTACCTGGATCAAAGAGAACTTCACCGAGTCACTTAGCAAGGTCAGTGAAAATGTCTGGGGTAATTTGGGTTGAACCCTGGCAGCTGAGTGCCAGTACCTCCTCAGTCTCCTCTGCTCCTTTCTTCTCTTCCTCTCTGTACCGCCAGAGACCTCCTGTAAAGATCTGACCCATGTAAACTCTTGCTTATGCAAGAGTCCAGGCTGTCCTGGTGCTTGTGGGATGGTTTACATGAGGGTTTTGTGTTTGAATATGGATTTGCAGAACCGGTTTTCAAATATAAACACCTATGTAAATAGCTGCGGATTTATGCTTTTGGGGTGTGTGTTGCCTTAATGCAGCTGCGAGTAAGGACCGTTTTTGTGGGTGTAACAAAATGAGCAGGATTAAGCCTTTGACTCCGGCCTGAATCTGTGTTTAAAGCATGCTCTCAGCCTTGACTCTGCATACATGGCTTCCATGAGCAACCCTGGCGTGATGGGTGCGCTGAGTCCCGCTGCCAGCAGTGCAGTGGGTGTCTGCGCAAGAGCTACCTGTGTTCTTAGATGGAAGGACAGATCCCCCAAAGCCAGAAGATACAATTGAGATTATTAAAAGAGCTCTTGGTCCAAATCCTCTCCTAAGTTGAACATAGTTTCCTTTAAAGTCTTCAAATTCTAGGCATTCGGAGCTAAGTACAGCCCACTAGCAAGCTATTGCTATTTGCATCCTTTAAATTTCAAGACACTAGTGGTTGAGGGTAGTCAACCTCTCTGCTGTGGAAGCGTCTTGTCTCTGACAAATACTGAATAACAGTCTGTCAGTCAGATGGTAAACTGCTTGATCTTGAACTACAAAGTGGTCAGAATAGGAATGAGACCATCATTAGAGCCATTAATGGCTAACGCGTCTAATTTACCTACAGTATAATGGCTTGTCATCCTCTGAGGTGGTTAATGTTATTGCACCCTAATAATTTTCACAGATTGCTTAGGTTTTTTTTAAGGGTTTAGTGCTTAAATTATTTAGGCAAAAATGTTGTTAACTGCTGTTTGTTCTTAGTGAAGCAAATGGCAGACAATAATACCTTTAGGATTATTTTATTTAGAAAGATTGCAGTTGATTAAAGGCAGAGCTGGATCTTTTCATCTGCCTTACGAGCTCCATACAACCACAAATCCAAAGTGCTGTATGTTATCTGACGCTTCTGCCCCATTTGTTGCCCAGGGTGGACCTCCTCTGGGGAGTGAGTACGTGTGTGGGAGGCAGTGAGTGGCCTTTTGACTGTCAGGACTCACACCGAAAGGGTTGGATGGTGATTAGTGACTTAGAGTTTCTTCAGGAAGTGATGGGACAATCTTGTCTGCAAGGCAACAGAAAGGCTACCCGTGACATTCAAATTGTGCTGTTGCTTCTGTTGCAGCAGTTTTGTGTGATGCTGAAGAGTTATCTGGGGTTTATTCTGGGGGTGGCTTGGTTGAGCTGGTGCAGAAGTATCCCATGAACTCTCTGTTTGTGAACCGCTTCTGGTCCAAAGCATCTGCTAGAACTTGTCTCAGCTCCCCAGTGCTGACCCCTCTGTCCCTAGAGCCACACAGGCCAATGCTTATTTTGTCAGGTGGCTTCTCCACTCCCTTTTCATCAGGTTTGGCCCCTTGTCTGTTTTCCAGGGACAGAGAGGAGAAGCTACTGGCCACAACAGGGTCAGTTGCTGAACTGGACAGAATATCCAGATGCGGTGGGCGCTGGTGCTTGCAGCGTGGCTGTGGACAGACTGTGTGAAGCCCCTATTACTGTTAGTTTTTGTGCGTCTTGCAAAAAGAACGCTCTCGCTGCTACATGCCGTGCCGGAGGGGGTCTTCCCACTGTAGCCTGCTCTGCCAGCTGCTCTCTGCCAGCTGTTAATGTCTGCACCTAGAGTGCAATCACAACAGGTGCTGAAGAACATCCCCTTGTGCAAATCATTTTTCATTTTAGATTGTATTAACACGGAACTGGAATTCCAGATCACTTCCCCATCTGGATAAGACAAATACTATTGCCAGGTCAGTGAGAGTTTCTTTAGTTCAGATAGCTTTTTTTCCTTCTCTTTTGATGTGAGCGTTGCAAATTATGTGAGTGTTGTGATCCTTACCAGGATATTTCAAGGAAAATCTGAGATGAAACATCATGTTGTTCAGGTCGACTAGATAAGAGTTTTGCCCTGAAACCATTGGCTATTTTCAAATGTTGTGCATGAGCAGTGGCCAAATCCAGGTCATTTTGCTCTCCTGAGTAGGTGTCACTACAGCCTGGCTGTATTTTTTACCCAGTTGTTAACATTTTGAATGACTTGGTTTTGTTTGTATTTGCTGCAGTGGTGATAATTGGGTATTTCTAATTTGTAGTTTCTCGGTGTCTCCGGATGAGATGGGAAGTTGTTTTGGTGAGGAGGTACAATTTGAAGAGCAGGTTAAGGGTGAG